ACTGAATTTGAAGCCTCACATCAAAAAAAAAATCATCATTGGCCTGACTTTGGCACAAAATAGTGTTTTAACTTTTTATCTGGAGTCTTGGAATAAATGACATCACTGAGAAAAGCAGATAGCGGTTATTTAAAATGCAAAACTGCAAATATAATATAAATATAATATAATATAAAAATGACTTTGTGCTGGATAACAGTTGAGAAAATCTGAATCTGAAATCCTGGTTTCATGTACAGTTCAGTGAGCTCAAGATGCTTTTCAGTGTAAATCAGGGGTCGGCAACCTGTCTGATGATGAGTGCATCTAAACGTTCCTCAGAAGCCAGTGTGCCGTATGATGCATTGGCATTAAATGTAATAACGCTCTATATGAACAGTTACACACGTTATAGGATCATATTTGTTCACAGATGTTTGCAGCTGTCAGCGAATAGTTATCAGATAGTTTGAAACAAAAAAGACTTTTTATCCACAACAGCAAATGCAAATGCTATTTATGGTCTCCTCACAACAATGATAGGAAAAATAAACGGGGCCAATATGGCATGTTTGTTAACACAGAGACACACATGTTACTGTGATCTCTGGGCTCCCACTCAGAGACACAGGTCTCCCAGTGTCCAGCATTCAGAGGCTGCCTGAGGACTCATGTGGGAGAAAACCTGCTCACACAGACATGTGGAGCCAAACACTGTCAGTAAGGCCTCTGCAATGTCCTGAAGAGTTAAACTTGTCAGGTAGTGACGTCCAGCAGGTGAACATGCAGCTCCATGAACACGCCATAAACGTGCTGCTGTTGTTTAGCGTGACATCTGCTGGTTTCCTCTTTCTGGCGCAAAGTGAGCGATAAACAAGCAAGAGAGCCGATCAGCTGATCATTGATCAGTTTCATGATTGAAGTAGCAACAGGAGAGGGAGGGGGAGAGAATGAGGGGCAGGGATAGCTCAGTAGGTAAAGTGGTCGCCCCATGATCGGAAGGTCGGCGGTTCGAATCCACTTAACGGCTACCCTGAGGTACCCCTGAGCAAGGTACCGTCCCTACACACTGCTCCCCGGGCGCCTGCTTAGTGGGCTGCCCACTGCTTCACAGAGTGAATGGGTCAAATGCAGAGAAAAACAAGTAATTTCCCCATGGGGATCAATAAAGTATCCATTATTATTATGAGAGGAGAAGAGGCACGGTTGGCAGCTACTAACTAACCTTATGAATAAAATAAAGTTCACTATCAGTAACATCATAGCACCACCCAGCTGTATAGAAACTCCGTCATGCTAGCTAGTAGCAGTACGAGTTATTGTAACTAGAGATGGCACAATACCACTTTTTTATGTCCGATACCGATACCGATATCATAAATTTGGATATCTGCCGATACCGATATGAATCCGATATAGTGTTTTTTAATCAACAAAACTGTTTTTTTAAATATCTTGCTGCATTTTGTATAAGTTCATACTCAAGTTTAAAACAACAACTACACTAAAGCTATTCTGTTATACCTGTATACAAAAAAAATATTTCATAGTTCAGCAATACTGATCAATCTAATAAACTTAAACTTACACCATCCTCCCTATTCTGGTATTTTAAAGAGTACTTAGCGTAAATATTAAGCAACCTAACTAATAGGGTTCCAACTCCCAGCAACAACAAAAATAAATAAATAAAAAATAGGGAACCACCCCTCACGCTCCACCTCATGATGCTTAATCGACGTAATCAACCTTAATTTGATGCAGTGTGAAAAAAAATGCACAGAAATCAATTCTTTTTCAAGAAATATTAAATAGATTCAACATCTTTCTTCAACAAAATTGCAGACTGCACAGATGGTACCTTCCCAAAGGAAAAAGTACTATAGCTTACTAGGGTATATATATTAGACTTAATAGTCACTATATACAGTAATTGACTTCTATTCATTTTACATCAGATTAAAACTTTGGGTGTCAGATAATTATTTATTAAAAGCTCGACATTTTAAATGAGAATAAGAAAGAAAAGTATGTCTTAGGGCATGAACAGGGAAGAGGGGGCACAATCGGCCCCCCTGGCTAAACTTTGCTAGATCCGCCCCTGCACAGTTACCAGCCGTCAGCTACGTAGAAAAAGATCCTTGAGTAGAAAGTAATAATAAATAAATTCTAACAACAGCTGATCAAGCTTAAACGTGCTGCTGTTGTTCAGCCGCTGGTTTCCTCTTTCTGGTGCAAAGTGGACCAAAAACAAACTAGAGAGACGGACTCGCGACAGAAAAGCCGATCAGCTGATCATTTAAGCAGTTTCATGATTGAAGTAGCAGCCGGAGAGCGAGAGGCAGTCGCTCGTTAAGCTTAACGCAGGAATGCTTTACAAACATTCAGAGATGGACTTACACACTTGCTTTACTTCTCTCGGGATAACTTTGTCGGAGATGAAATGCCGGGTTGCTAGCGAAGCTCCAAATGCTATCCAGACCACCGACAGGTCCCGCATGCCACCGCCGCTCTATCACGTGATGCATACTGCTCCGACGTGCTAACGTTCTGAGGTGAGTTACGGCGTGTTGCAAGTTTTGTGAGGTGCTTTCGTGATATTTAATGGATCGGATTACATTTTTTATTTTTCTCCGATATCCGATCCAGTAATTTAGGTCAGTATCGGACCGATACCGATACGTAATATCGGATCGGTCCATCTCTAATTGTAACTGACTGTAAAAAGTCAGCACAACGAAAATAAACTAAACTTGGTTCATATCTGACCCAGATAGACTGCAGCTCATAACTTCTTACCTGAAGTTCAGTTCACCGCCTCGGGTCTCTGCTCCTCCTGCCTCCCCTCCCTTCATCCACCTGCTGGCCTCTGTGGAAGCTCCGCCACAGCCACCAGCAAACAACTGAGTTATTTTTACACATCTGCCAGCATCTGGCCAATCCACCACCTTTAATACCGTTGCAAAAACATCATCGGCCCATAAAAACGTAAAATCACCACCATTTGCCCGGTATGCCTGATGGCCAGTCCCGCTATGGCGTGCCAGCTGTGGCACGCGTGCCCAGGGTTGCCAGGGTGTAAAGGATAAGGAAGACGTCAACAGTCGGTTGCCCCCCGGTGAGCACGAGGTGACGCTGGGACGGAAAATCCTGAAATCACCAGCAGAACCAGAAACTTTTGAATGTTTTACTAAATGATTGCACGGTATCAAAATGTCTCTGGTGGTTCTCCGTCATCCAGATCATCCAGGACGCAGGCGGGCCCTGTGGCGTACAGGTGAGAATAGGAACCAGAGAAGCTGCAGAAGCAGCATGATGTTAGGAAACAGTGATGAGTGAATGTCTGCAGGATAACTGAGCGTCACCTGATGTTTGTGTTTGATGCCAGCTGTTGTTCTCCTAACATCTAATGTGACGGCTGAGTGTGTCTCTTCAGATCCAACAGTGTTTGTCATCAGACTGCTCCTGCTGCTGCTCCTGCTGCTCTTCATCTCTGCCGTCTGTTTCAGCCATAAGGTACCGTGCACACGTCTGCTGATCAGAAGACGCTCTGGAACGAAGCTCTCGGCCCGTTTGAAGAGAGCGGCGACTCGCTGACTCACACCTGTGTGCTGCTGTGTCTCTGCAGGTCACCGGGAGGCAGGAGCCCCGCCCACAGGAGGACCCGGAGCTGGATGGTTAAAGCTGGCAGTGTCCAGAAAAGCAGGCAGCTCAGCAGCGCCTCCACATGGTGGAGGAAGTGTTTGCATCCTTCACCACCGTGTGAACATGAACTGCAACCACAGTAAACTGTAATTACATCATCAGCTCATTTTTTTTTTTACACGCTGGAAACATGAAATGCGTCCCTGCTCTGATCCTGGCGACACCTTTCCTGCATCCCAGCGTTCCCTGCGAGTAATCCACGGCCACATGCTGAAAGGCTGAGATATTACAGCCTGCGACTCAGACACAGTCGATATTATCGCACATCTGTTTGATCAGAACACAAAACTGAATGATGTCAAAGAAATTTTACCACTAAAACTTTTTTCATCACATATAAATATTTGTAAATATCCTAAATGTTCTCTTTAAACTGTTCATTAAAGGTGTCCAAGTGTTTCACACAAACTCTAACGTGACTCACAGGAGAAGTGTCCTCTCTCATGTTTCCTCTCCTTTATCTCCTCATCACCTTCGTGTGTTTCCTCTCTGACAGGAAGTTCTGAGCAGCTTTGTCATCTGACAGCTGACGTGGATCATGTTATGCGCTGAGCAGCATTAACTTAAAATCAGAGGATGAAACAGGAGAACCTGAAAGAGATTTTTCAGCCAAACTCACCTGAGTTTGTTTTAATCTGCTGCGTTAAAAACCGACCAATCAGATTACAGATGCTAGAACTTCAGATAGCCGACTGACCGCAGCTAAACTCAGCATCTGTGTGATCAGATAAATGCGTCAGATCTTTCCTGCAGCTGTCACACACTTTATGAAGGTTAACCCTTTATAATCTGCTCTGGATCTTAAACCTGTGATTTTAGGCTAAAAGAACTTTCACTGAAATATTTAAATGTGCTCTTGTGTGTGTCTGAGCCCACAACACTCACCAATATAATATTAGTAATTCATGTTTTGGTGAGATTTTCAAGAACAGGTTTAAAGGTGATTTGACAGAGAAACTCTGAACCGTAGTTCTAGTACGTAAGCTGGACCCAAAAGCAAACAATACGCAGACACGCACACAAAACAAACGCTATTCTTTTAACTAAAGGTGACCAACCAAAGGGAACGCGCTGCTTTATCGCTGAACAGAAGAGACCGGGAAATAAACGACACGGGGACGCCGTGATCAGGACCGTGGGAGGCTGCAACAGAAAGGGGAGAGAGTTACTGGAGAGCAGGGAGATAACGGCATACACCAGGGCTAGGACTATTTATCTTACGATCAGTTGGCTGATGAGCAGATAACAGATGAAGAGGAAACAGCAGTTTATTAGCAGAGAGCTGAAGAGTCGGACAGACAGAGAGGAGACGGACGTGGACCTGACATGGATCACCTGCTGCTGGTTCTGCTGCTGCTGTGGGGCTCAGGTAGGACTCTGCAACATCAGCCTGCCCTGTTTGTACTGGTTTACATTAATATTATACACAACAAGAGGCAGGCATGGATCTAAACCTCTTCAGATCCGTCTGAGTCCATTTGTTGTATTTTTACAGACATTTTAAGGAGATGTATTAGAAATGAGCCAAGGGCAAGATACTGGATCACAAGTTTCTCTCTTCATCTTTCTGAAAATGTGAATCTTAGTTAGAAAACACTAGAATGGGTGAATGAAACACATCGTATACATCTTTTGAGTGCTCGAGTAGAAAAGAGATGTACAGCTACGGCTGGAATTTTTCCAGAAAACAATTACAAATGTTTTGGTATTTTTGTCCTTTATCAACACAAAAAACAGAACAGAGTTTGGCAGCTTTCCACAAAAGACTCAAAAACTGGTCTGGACAAAATTATTGGCAACCTCAACTTAATATGTGGTTGCACGCCCTTTGGAAAAAATAACTGCAGACAATCGCTTCCTGTAACCATCTACAAGCTGGTTGCACCTTTCAACAACTTTTCTTTTACAAACTGCTCAAAGTCTCTCAGATTTGAAGGGCAACTTCTCCCAACAACAATTTTGAGATCTCTTCATAAATGGTAAATGGCCTGTATTTGTATAGCGCTTTTACTAGTCCCCCCCCAAGGACCCCACAGCGCTTTACACACCCAGTCATCCACCCATTCACACACTGGTGGAGGCAGCTACAGTTGTAGCCACAGCTGCCCTGGGGCAGACTGACAGAAGCGAGGCTGCCATATCGCGCCATCGGCCCCTCTGGCCAACACCAGCAGGCGGTAGGTGAAGTGTCTCGCCCAAGGACACAACGACCGAGACCGTCCGAGCCGGGGCTCGAATCGGCAACCTTCCGATTACAAGGCGATTCATAAGTGTTTAATCAGATTTAGATCCGGACTCATTGCTGGCAGCACTTTGTCTCCAACCTCTCCTGGGCGCTTTTAGAGGCATGTTTGGGGTCGTTGTCCTGCTGGAACACCCATGACCTCTGATACAGACACAGCTTTCTGACACTAAGCCCTGCATCGCAGACCAAAATGTTTTGGTACTCTTCAGGCTTCATGATGTCCTGCACACAGTCAAGGCTTCCAGTGCCAAAGGCAGCAAAACATCTTAGAACCTACACCTTGTTTGAGTGTAGGTACTGTGTTCTGTGCTTCATAGTAGAATGATGAGCTGGGTCTCATCTGCCACATTCTCCAGGAAGGATTTTGTCTTCCTCAAATACATCTTGGCAAAATCCAGTCTGGCTTTTTTACATTTCTGTGTCAGCGGGGTCCTCCTGGCTCTCCTGCCATAGCGTTTCACCTCGTTCAGATGTCGATGGATGGTTCGAGCTCACACTGTTGCACCCTGAGTCTGCAGAACAGCTTGAATTTGTTAGGAAGTTCATTGAGGCTGTTTAGCCACCATTCAGACTATCCTTTGCTGCAGTCTTTAATCAGTATGTTCTCTTCAAAGGTCTCCGTCCCTAATGGTGGATATCTGCCAAGGCTCTGGAAGGCTTCTGTCTCCACTGTGGTTGGCAGCAAAGGCAACAGAGGCTTTGAGTGCTTTATGTTTGGTTTTCTTTTCCATTTAAATTCAGCTGCGTTTTCCAGCTGCCTCTATCGAAACAGAAGCTCCTACTGCCTAACACATGACAGTTTAACAACATATTTAAAATGTTCCACTGATACAAATAAATATCCTGCTTATGTTTGTGTGTGTTTGCACATTTGTAGCTTAGTTAGCGCTTTGGGGTCCATAGGGACTAAGTAAAGAGTCCCTATGCAGAGCTGCAGAAGTTCAGATGTTCACCGGGAGTAAGCAGGACAGTCAGGATCAGAAAAGAGTCCATCAGACAGCTCAGAGTGGAGATACTGGACAAAGGATGGAGAAAAAGAAGAAAAGCTTAGCGAAGATTCACGGATGTAGTGATGGAGGAGATGCTGTTGGTCTGACAGAGGAGGATGCTGGGACAGGAGGAGGTGGTTGCATGTTATCTGCTAGCAGCTGAAGGAAGTAGCAGAGCTGTTATTCCTTTATTACATCTTTCTTTTCCATGATTTAAATAAATGTAATAAAGGGTTTCAGTAACATCCCCAAACTGTGCTGCCGTACTGAGTATAGTTCTGTGAGCGACTGTTCACGTTGTTCAACATGCTTTGAGACAACAGGTGTAAATTCTTTGACTTGGGTCGGTGACTCTGATAGCTCAAGTGTTGGGCTGCTATCTGAAGTTGGAAATGATTTTATCGTTAACCATGGGGGTGGAGGTATTATTTCATTTACAGTTAAGTTTAAACCGTAGAAATATCTGGAAATTTCCCTAATTTTTGATCAAATCATAAAAAAGCTGCTTTATCAGAATCAGAATCAGAAAGGGGTTTATTGCCAAATGTTGAGCAGGTTTACAACATTAGGAAATTGCTGCGGTGCTTCAGTGCAAACATAGTGTCATAGTGTTTATCGACCTCACTGTAACACTTATAAAAAAATGGTAAATGGCCTGTATTTATATAGCGCTTTACTAGTCCCTAAGGACCCCAAAGCGCTTTACATATCCAGTCATCCACCCATTCACACACATTCACACACTGGTGATGGCAGCTACATTGTAGCCACAGCCACCCTGGGGCGCACTGACTGACTTATCTCTGTTACTTTATTTATGTCGTAATATGGCATGTTTCATTTCCGTGTGTGATTCCTTATAACAAAATATTATAGTTGCTGTTGTTTTTTCCAAATCACAGAACACTTTTGTCATTTAGTAACTTGTAATTGTATCTTTAATAGCCACTTCAGTTGTTGTTTGATTCCTGTTAATGTATTAGTTGGTGATCAGAGGAGTGTGAGGTTTCTCAGGCAGCAGATGGGTCTGTACCGACTGTTAGAGCGAATTGTTAAATGTTGTCATTTTTGTGCTTACAATTGTTTCAAGCTGCATGATCAAAGACATTCTGAATGGTGGGGTGGGGGGTTATAGTGTTAACTGCAGGCACATTCTATATAAGGAACGTCACTTCCTGCCCTTTGTGGGCTCACCTGTGTTTGTATATGGTAAACCGTTAGAGGAAGCTAAGCTAAGGGGTGAGGGGAGATGACGCCTTTGTGATCACCAGGAAGACACACACACACACAGGCTCACACATGCATACACACACAGCGCTTTTAACTTTTACGACACACCACATGGGGTTTACAATGGGTGTTGTGTCATTTCAATAAAAAGGCTGCAAGCGGAGGCTGGGGTCGGAGTCATCTGAGGTCGAGGGCCGAGTGCTGCTCTGAGATTCCCACCGAGCTTCACTTGCGCGAGTTAAAACAGATCGATCGCTGTTTTGTCTTGCTTTGTTCACGGGAATAAGTCTCTGAGTCAGCGACGTCTATAAGTTTAGACCTAACACCGACCTCCCAGCCTGCTTCTCTCTTCAGAAATTTATTTGGTCTTCTCCTGTATCCCATAATCCTTTGCTGTGTTTCAGGTGTTCACTGTGAAACAGCCAAAGTTGACCTTGTGATGTTGGTGGATGAGTCTGGGAGCATCAGCAGAAATGACTTTGATAAAATTCAAACGTTTCTTGTTGCCATCGTCAGCGGCCTCAACATTGGTCCCGATGCAGTCCAGATCGGTAATGTTTTCACTGCCAGTCATACCATTACTATGATATTTAACACGGTTAATTTCAAAAGTACTTTAACTTTGTAAAAAAAAATACCACACATACATAAACTCCCCTTAATCATTGTGCTTTTAATAATGTGTAATTTGTACCAAGTGCTAATAACTATCGTGTTTGAATGTGTGAATGTTTGAATTTGAGTGACGAGCTCTGTGTGTCCTTGTTGTTTTACACATTGCTTCTGAAGGTCTGACTTTGTTCAGCACCGAAGCAAGGACAGAGTGGCACCTGAACACCCACCAGACCAAACAAACCCTGCTGAGGGCCATAGAAGAACTCAAAAAAACTGGTGGGAGCACCAAGACAGGTGAGCAAGCAGCATATTACCCAGCCTACAGGAGGTTGTCACCAGAAGGTGCTCCAGAGGTGATCATTGAACCAGGCTAAAAAGTTTCATCCCGGACAATCAGAATCTGATACGAAGATTATTTCTGAAAAAGTATCTGCTGCACAATAAACAGAGAAATCCTTCACAAGTAGACAGAAGTACCAAAACAGGCACACATGCACTTTTTTAAATCCCATTTTGAAGTGATAGTTTAAAAAGAAACACAAAAAGCATAAATTATTACAAATAACAAAGACTAGACATTCAAAAGATCCTGGCATGAAATCATACACGTTTATGTACCGTATTTCCCAGACTACAAAGCGCACCTGAATATTAGCCGCACAAGCTAAAATCAGGGGAAAATCCTGTTTTGTACATACATTAGCCGCACCTGACTAAAAGCTGCAGGTGTTTCAATGCTGACTTATCATATGTAAGAGAATATGCACAAAGCGAATTGTCAGGGAAGAGATGGCTGTTTGGAGACACACCCCTTTTATTAATATTTTGAAAAACAAGTTACGGGTACATATTTGCATAACTTTTTAGGTATATGTACAAGTAGCGGTAATTACAAGTACGAAACATGTACTGTGCTTCATAAATGAGTAACAAATGTAGTACATAACAGTAGCCTACAGCACACCAGAAAAATAGATCCGGACTACCTTTTAGGCTCAGGTGCAGTGACACGGCTTTAACAAGAAGAAAAGTCAGTCATTCACCATCTTTCTCTTCTTCCTGCACTGAAACCACCAAAGTCCTCTTCTCCAGTGTCGGACACGAACAGGCTCAGGATGGCTTCATCATCCACTCTCCGCTTCTCTCCTTTGTTGTCACTTTCAAAACCAAACAAATCCTCGTTGTCAGTGTCGAACACTCTCAGAAGGGCCGTGGCGGTGTCCTCCTCTCCATCATGCAGCAGTCCAGCCCTTCGAAATCCGTTGGTGATCGTGGATGTTTTCACACTTTTCCACGCTGTCAGGTTCCACCGGTGGAGTTGAGCATAACTTGTTTTTCGCAAGTTTATCGCCGCTGGTCATCCACGCCTCCAGCTGAACGCGTAGCGCTACTTTGAAGTTTGTTTTTCGCGCTACTTGTACAGCACTATGTTGCCTGGCGGACGGACATGTGACCAACATACCACTCTTGAACCCCGATACTGTGTGTCTGATCACATGCCCTTCCGCCAGCCAACGTAGTGCCGTACAACAGCGGAACAAACAAAACAAATCCTCTTACGATATGACAAAAATCACGGACAATCCATAGAAAAGCCGCACCTGACTAAAAGCCGCAGGGTTCAAAGCTTGTGCAAAAAGTAGCGGCTTATAGCCCGACAATTACGGTATGTAGAAGTTGATTTTAGAAATCTGAACTTACAATAAATCACTAACAGGTGCATCATGTAGCAGTGACAATGACAATAATCCATCTGTGGACGTGCTTTGAGTGAAACTGCCACAGTCTGTTTACCCTTGGATCCACATGGACAAACTAATTTATCGGTTCTCACAGAAGATTAGTAAAAACTGGGGACATCGCTACAGTGAACCTCTAGTGTTGGCTAACCTCGCTGACTCGATAGTGTAGAGTAGTTACTGTTGTTTTCCAATAATGAGCAGCACAGCAGGACATCGATCCTCGTGGCTGTGTGAGGGTGTAAGCTGTGTTAGCATACAGGGAGTGCGTAATTATTAGGCAAGTTGTATTTTTGAGGAATAATGTTATTATTGAACAACAACCATGTTTTCAATGAACCCAAAAAACTCATTAATATCAAAGCTGAATGTTTTTGGAAGTAGTTTTTAGTTTGTTTTTAGTTTTAGTTATTTTAGGGGGATATCTGTGTGTGCAGGTGACTATTACTGTGCAGAATTATTAGGCAACTTAACAAAAAACAAATATATACCCATTTCAATTATTTATTTTTACCAGTGACACCAATATAACATCTCCACATTCACAAATATACATTTCTGACATTCAAAAACAAAACAAAAACAAATCAGCGACCAATATAGCCACCTTTCTTTGCAAGGACACTCAAAAGCCTGCCATCCATGGATTCTGTCAGTGTTTTGATCTGTTCACCATCAACATTGCGTGCAGCAGCAACCACAGCCTCCCAGACACTGTTCAGAGAGGTGTACTGTTTTCCCTCCTTGTAAATCTCACATTTGATGATGGACCACAGGTTCTCAATGGGGTTCAGATCAGGTGAACAAGGAGGCCATGTCATTAGTTTTTCTTCTTTTATACCCTTTCTTGCCAGCCACGCTGTGGAGTACTTGGACGCGTGTGATGGAGCATTGTCCTGCATGAAAATCATGTTTTTCTTGAAGGATGCAGACTTCTTCCTGTACCACTGCTTGAAGAAGGTGTCTTCCAGAAACTGGCAGTAGGACTGGGAGTTGAGCTTGACTCCATCCTCAACCCGAAAAGGCCCCACAAGCTCATCTTTGATGATACCAGCCCAAACCAGTACTCCACCTCCACCTTGCTGGCGTCTGAGTGGGACTGGAGCTCTCTGCCCTTTACCAATCCAGCCACGGGCCCATCCATCTGGCCCATCAAGACTCACTCTCATTTCATCAGTCCATAAAACCTTAGAAAAACCAGTTATGAGATGTTTCTCAGCCCTGAGCAGCGACAGCTGTTATCGGGCAGTTGGAGCAGCGTGTAACATTATTGAGTACTAACATTAGTTTCATTTAAAGCCTTCTTGTTTAAATATGTCATTTGATTCATGGTTGACTTTCTACTTTGTGTGTGTGTGTGTGTGTGTGTGTGTGTGTGTGTGTGTGTGTGTGTGTGTGTGTGTGTGTGTGTGTGTGTTTAAAACCCATGATTGGGTTTTAGTCCATGACCTTTGAAACTCTTGACCTGCTGATGTCACTTTCTGCCATCATACAGGAAAAGCTCTGGAGCACATCCTCCATAACCAGTTT